TTGAAGGGTAATGGACTTAGCCTCCGCCCCACCTCTCTGCCTAGAGGCTTTGAGGGGCGGCAGCTCTGGATCTCAGTGTTCTCATCTGGAACATTCGGAGCTAATGGTGATGGCTTGCAGCATCTGAGCTCAGAAGCAGAGTCCCCACACGTGCCTGATGCATTCAGACTGGCCGTCCCAGGGTAAGCTGGTACAGAAGCTGCAAGAGGCACGAAGGAGAGAGGTGTGGACACTCCAGGAACTCTAAGCTCCGATCTCGACTCTGTCCGTGGCCTTGGATATGTTGTTGCTTTCCTTCCCTGACAGAGAAAACAAACTGCAAAGGAATCCCCAGCCCCAGCTTATTCAATGGTCAATACCAAGTGCCACGTCCGTTCATTAATTTAGTAAACGTGGGTGGAGTATCTTCTGTTTCTAAGCAATGCACAAGGCACTAGGCTACAAAGATTTTTTTAATAAAATATTTTTAAAACAATGATAAGACATGGCCTCCCAAAATTCATGCAGCATTCGAGCCAAGCTAAAAATAAGAGCATTTAAATTTTTTAAGTCAGTGATTTACCTGGTGTCTTCTGGGATAAAGAAATAATTACAAAACAATAATAACAAGGGCTAGCTACAATACAGTCTAAATTTTAGAATGAGGCTGTAGCATAGGCCAAGGCACATACAGTCACCCTTCAGTACCCAGGGGGATAGGTTCCAGGATTCCCCACAGATACCAAAATCCAAGGATGTCCAAGTCCCTCACAGAAAAGGTGCACTATTTGCATGTAACCTATGCACATCCTCCTTCATGCTTTAAATCATCTTTAGACTACTTATAATACCAAATACAATCTAAATGCTATGTAAATAGTTGTTATACTGTATTTTATTTGTATTTTTTCCCAAGTATTTTAAATCCACAGTTAACTGAATCTGCAAATGCAGAATCCACAGATAGGAAAGGTCAACTGTAGTCAGTGTTCAATAAACATTTGTTGAAATAATAAAGGATGGCCGGGCGCAGTGGCTCACACCAGTAATCCCAACACTTCGGTAGGCCAAGATGATTAGATCACTTGAGCCCAGGAGTTTGAGACCACCCTGGCCAACATGGCAAAACCCCAACTCTACAAAAAATACCAAAAACTTCACTGGGCATGGTGGCGCAGGCCTGTAATCCCAGCTACTCAGAAGGCTGCGACAGGATGGTCACCTGAGCCCTAGGAGATCCAAGCTGCAGTGTGTGCTCCAGCCTGGTCAACACAGTAAAATCCTGCCCCCAAAAAAATAAGTAAATAAATAAAATAAATAATAGAGGTTATAATAACAAGGCCTCATCTAGTAACAGTGGGTGGGGTCAAAGAAGGCACCCTGGGTTCACTTGGTGGCTTTCAGGGAAACACAGGCTGAGAGGCAGGCAAGAGCTTTGCCCTCTATCGAGTGTCAGGCAGGAGAGCAATGGCCACATCCCACATTGCCTCTAGGATTTGCGGCTAAGGAGCTGTGGGTCCACACTGCCTATGCAGGAGAGGCCCAAGTTGTGTAAGATGTTTTTCGGGCTGGGGAGGAGGTGGTGGCAGATTCAGCCTCCACTCAAGCTGAAGTGTTTGCAAACAAGGTCACACCTACCTGCCCAGAGGAGCCCTTGCTGGCGCTTCCTCTCACTGGGTCCCTGGCTATCTCATTTGGCGAGAGCACAGCAGAATACAGGCCTAAATTGCTTGTTCCTGTCACCTCCCTGTAACTTCCTGATATGATCATCTTGTCAGGCATTTGTCCTCATGCGGGAAGAATGAGCTTGCCCAAGGCCAACTCCATCAACTCACTCTTTGATCCATGTAGCACTCGAGTCGGGCTGAAAAATCAGATTATTTCACTTTTTAGCTGGTGGGAGTACAGTCTGGCAGAACTGTTTTGGGGAAAGTGATTGGTAATGCAGGTGGCACATCCAGGGAGAAGAGCACTCAACCACCCACTAAATCTGGGGCCCTGGGCAAGTCACAGAACATCTCTGAGCCTCCATTTCTCTGAAGCACTTGGAAAGGACAAATCACAGGATGTTCAGGAGCCCAGGGACAAATTATAAGCATCAGCATAGCGGATGCATCACCCACATCACCAGAAGTGCACACTGTTGAATGCTTCCAGTGAGGGCATCTCAAAAACCCACTGTATTCATTGGGGCATAGAATAGGTGACACCCAAATTAGGTCATTCGAAGAGAGATTAATTTAAAAAAATATGTATGAAGCTGTGAGCGGGGTAAAAGAAGACCTTGGGGGAAGAGTGCAGTATTCTGAAGCTAATAGCAGCCTTAGCATCCTAGTGGGGCAGAAGTGGGAGTGGTTACTGGAACCCAGGTACAGGGAGGGGTGTCTGCAGAGAACCGTCTGGGAGTTGCAACCTTCAGTGGAGGGATGCAGCCAGACAATGTCGACCCAACATGGAGGGAACCAGGGGAATAACTGCCCAGCCTCTCTCCCCTGACTCTCTCCAGACTCCTGCCAGGATCCCCATGGACCAAAAGCAGACACTGAAAGATAAGGGAACCCTTTGATACATTCTACACGTGCTGGCCCGAGAAACAAAGCAGAGTGAAGGAGGGTGAGAGGCTGGCTCTGCAGGGACAAAAGATGATATCGAGCACACCCCGCTAAAGCAACCCACAAGTAAAAGGGTCAACTTTGAATGTCTACCGAAACAATGGGGACACCAAAACAGCAAGATCATGACAGTCCCAGCCAAGTAAGCTCTTTCCTGCTTCTCACCCTTCCTCTGTGCTCCAGCCAACCTCAAGTGTTCAGAAACTGCAGCGAGCAAATCAGTAGGATTGAGGATGGGGTGAGGAGTTACCAAGCAGGATAGTAGACAGCTCACTGTGCCTCTTTTTCCCAATGCAGCCTTTTAGCCTGACATAGACCAGAGCTGGAGAATGTATCAGTTAGAGTCTGAGAGGCTGCCGTAACAAACAGTCCCAAACATGCTCATATAACAGTATAGGAAAGTGCCAGATTAGGATAATAGGGAAGGCAGGGGGCTTTGCTTCATCCACACAGTTAGAGTCCCAGGCTGATAATCTTTAACAGACAGCTCCCACAACACCCCTGGGATCACTTCCGTCTCAGCCAACTAGAAAGAGGAGATAGTATGGAGAAGCACACCTGGGAACTGTTTCAGGGGCAGGCCTGGAAATGAAACCTATCCCTCTGTTCACATTTCAATGGCTAGACCTCAGTCACATAGCCACTTCTAAATAGAAGGGAGACTGGGAAATGGAGTCTGCTGACCAGCCGAGATTAGAGATTATTATCATAGAACTATTATTATAAGGAAAAATGGATTTGGGTGGACAGTTGTCAGTCTTCATTACAGAGAAATTTCAAATCTTGAAGTTTGCTTCAAAATTCAAATCCCTGACATAGGCCGAGCTGACCATAACCAAGCCACAGCTGTTCTGTGACTCGCCCAGGGCCCCAGAGTTAATGGGTGGTTGAGCTGGTGCTGTTCTGTCTGCCATGTGCCACCTGCATTACCGATTACTTTCCCAAAAACAGTTCTGCCAGGCTATACTCCCACCAGCTGAAAAGTAAAATAATCCTATTTTTCAGCCTGACTCAAGTGCTACATGGATAAAAGAGTGAGTTGATGGAGCTGGCCTTGGGCAAGCTCATTTGACATTTAAATCACTGACAAAGGCTGGGTGCGGTGGCTCACACCTGTAAACCCAGCACTTTGGGAAGCTGAGGTGGGCAGGTCACTTGAGGTCAGGAGTTCGAGACCAGCCTGGCCAACAAGGTGAAACCCCATCTCTATTAAAAATATAAAAATTAGCCAGGTGTGGTGGCACATGCCTGTAGTCCTAACTACTCAGGAGGCTGAGGCAGGAGAATCACTTGAACAGGGAGGCGGAGGTTGAAGCGAGCCATGATCTCGCCATTGCACTCCAGCCTGGGTGACAGAGTGAGACCCCATCTCAATAAGCAAATGAATTAATTAATTAAATCACTTGCGGAGTTTTTTTGTGATTAAAAGTTACAAGAGAACTTTCCTTACTTGACAGGGGAAAAAAGAGTCGAGACGTCTGCCCTAAATTTACCAAAGGAGCAAAACAGTAGCAGGCAGAGAGCAGGTTTCAGCCAGCCTGAACAGCGGTTTGCACAACAGCTCAAAGGTGTTTGTTTACACTCTGGGGATTTCTGCTTGCTCAGTGCTCCACTTACTCTCTGATCAGAATACGGGTAAATTGTTTCTCTCTCTTTTCACTTCTCTGAGAGAAATTTTCTAAATTTCTTATAAAAAATGTTACCTTTAAATGAAAAAAATATTTAAAATATATTTTTTTAAAAGTCAATGAAGTCACTCAGTCTTCTTATTCTGTCTGCATTCAGTTCTTTGCTGATTACCAGTCCCCTGTGATTTGAAAAGCCATGTGATAATATCACCTTACATGTCTTCTTTCCTCCATTAGCGGCGTCTCTTTTGCTCAAGTCGACCTAACACTGAAATTCTCTTTGACTCTTCCTCCCTCACCCCAGCACCCAGTTGATGACTAACATCTTGTTATGCACAGGGAAGTTGCTCACGGCAACTAGGGAAGGGGAATGGGGGCTGCGGGCAGCAGAGCACAGCATACAGGGTACATTGAGGACTTATCAATGCACAGCCATCACAGGCTGGAGCGACTGAGAAACAAAAACACCTCAGCGGCAAATTATACAGACAGCTGGGTCAGGATCCAGGTAAAACCAGTAAAGAAGATTTCCAGGGATGACAGGGCTCATAGATGTCATCCAAAGACCAAGTCCAGGACATGCACTTCAGACAGTGAATGGCTTAATCCTGCTTCAGTCCTAAGTGAATCTCCCCACCACTCACTCACACATCACTTCCCACCCCCATCTCCACTGCCATCATCATCTGCATTTCATGTCCAAGCTAAACATGGTAAAGCCAGGAACAAAACCAAGAAGTCAGCTCAAGACTGTAACCACTCTGGTGAAAATAATGCTCCCGTGCTCACTTCAGCAGTACGTATACTCAAATTGGAATGATACAGAGAAGATTAGCATGGCCCCTGCACGAGGATGGCACACAACTTTGTGAAGTGTTCCATATTTTTATCTTTGATAAACCTGACTAAAATGAGCAATGGGGATAGGATTCCCTGTTTAATAAATGATGTTGAGAAAACTGGCTAGCCATATGCAGAAAACTGAAACTGGACCCCTTCCTTACACCTTATACAAAAATTAACTCAAGATGGATTAAAGACTTAAATGCATAACTCAAAACCATAAAAACTTTAGAAAAAAATCCTAGGCAATACCATTCAGAACATAGGCATGGGCTAAGACTTCATGACTAAAACACCAAGAGCAATGGCAACAAAAACCAGAATTGACAAATGGGATCTAATTAAACTAAAGAGCTTCTGGACAGCAAAATAAACTATCATCAGAGTGAACGGGCAACCTACAGAATGGGAGAAAATTTTTGCAATCTATCCATCTGACAAAGGGTTAATATCCAGAATCTACAAGGAACTTAAACAAATTTACAAGATACAAACAAACCAACCCATCAAAAAGTGGGTGAAGGATATGAACAGACACTTCTCAAAAAAAAAAAAAATTTATGTAGCCAACAAACATATGAAAAACAGCTGATCATCACTAGTCATTAGAGAAATGCAAATCAAAACTGCACTGAGATACCATCTCACGCCAGTTAGAATGGCAATCATTAAAAAATCTGGAGACAACAGATGCTGGAGAGGATGTGGAGAAATAGGAACACTTTTACACTGTTGGCGGGAGTGTAAATTAGTTCAACCATTGTGGAAGACAGTGTGGCAACTCCTCAAGGATCTAGAACCAGAAATACCATTTGACCCAGCAATCCCATTACTGGGTATGTACCCAAAGGATTATAAATCATTCTACTATAAAGACACATGCACACGTATGCTTATTGCAGCACTATTCACAATAGCAAAGACTTGGAACCAACCCAAATGCTCATCAATGATAGACTAGATAAAGAAAATGGGGCACATATACACCATGGAATACTATGCAGCCATAAAAAAGGATGAGTTCATATCCTTTGCAGGGACATGGATGAAGCTGGAAACCATTATTCTCAGCAAACTAACACAGGAGCTGAAAACAGAAAACAAACACTACATGTTCTCACTGATAACTGGGAGCTGAACAGTAGGAACACATGGACATGGAGGGGAACATCATACATCAGGGCCTATTGAGGGGTGGGTGGGTAGGGGAGGGATAGCATTAGGAGAAATACCTAATGTAGTTGACGGGTTGATGGGTGCGGCAAATCACCATGGCACATGTATACCTATGCACATTCTACACATGTATCCCAGTACTTAAAATATAATAAAAAATGAAAAGAAAAGAATGCTCCCACTGCTATTGATAAAATTACACATGTGAAGTGCTGATACTAACTGTTAGTTTTCTAGGGCTGCCATAACAAGATATTGCAGATTGCAGATTGGGTGGCTCAAACAGAAGTGTCTCACAGTTCTGGTGTCTGGGAAGTCCAAAATCAAGGTGTCAATCTTTTGATTCCTTCTGAGGGCTATGAAGGAAAGATCTGTTCTAGACCTTTCTCCTTGGCTTATAAATGGCCATCTTTTTACCACGTGAAGACATGGTCTTCCCTCTCTACACGCCTGTCCCTAATCTCTTTTTGAAGGGATACAAGTTATACTGGATCAGGGCTCCCCCTAATGACCTCAGTTCACCTTAATTACCTGTCTAAAGACCCTATCTCAGAATACAGTAACATTCTCAGGTACTGGGCACTACAGCTTCAAATATCAATTTGGCCAAGGGTGGGTGGGGAGTCACAGTTCAGCCCATACTACTAGCTCATAGCCATTACTAGGGTCCTGGAATTCAAGGACCCCCACAATGTCAACATCCAAATCGGCTTTCCATTCAACTTTATGTTTCTTACCCCCATCCCAGTCAAATGTTTACAGATACTGTTAACCAAACCACCTCGAACATTGCCTCCCCCAAGCTCTCTCTACTGTCATGGCCACACCCTATAATCCACCTTGTGGTGACAAACACACCAAACTCTCCTCATAGTGTAAGATGCAGCTCAAGCCCCTTTACAGGTTAGGAAACTGAAGCTCAGAGTGGTTAAGTAATTGTGCTCAAGGTCACCCAGCAAGTGAGGCTAGAAATGCGATCCTAACTCCACCTGTCCAACTCCAGGCCAAGCGGTCCCTCCGTGCTGAACTCCTACAGCAACCCCGGCCTGAAGCACTCACAGGGCAGTAAAGCTGGCAACGTCCTGATGTTCCTCTTCATTGTCACCCGGAGGATTTACTTTGAGCCTTTACGTCTTTATTATCAAATTTCTATTCACATATCTTTTCTTCCTAACTATACCTTCGACACCTTGAGATGGGAACGGACTTTTCACTTAAACTGATCCCTTCATAGCCACTGGCAGGGCTCCATGGAGATGGCTGTTGTTGCCGTAGGGCCAGCGTGGGAGTCATTCTCTGAAACCTAAAACACATATCCACTCCTCCAGGGAAATACACACATTCCTTAGAGAGCTGGCTCCAGCCAGCTGGACAGATGGGGCTCTGCCTCCTCCAAAAGCAGTGGCTTCCTGGATCCACTGATTCCAGAGGTGGATGCTCTTCCATCCCCTCTCAGCCCCAGGCCCATTCCAGAGCTGGAAGCAGAACAGGCCTCCTGCTTGAGGGGGGCACCCCAGAGCCCAGTTTCTAGAAACAGGGCTGGATATCCACACTGACACATTCATTTGCCTCTGTCTCCTTCTGCTTTCCCCCTTCCTTTCCTGTCCTTAGTCTCTCCTCTCCCTCGTTCCAGGACCTTTAGATTGCCTAAAGGTAACCTCTGCTACTTCGTGGCTACTGTAGGCCGGGCACTACGCTAAGCACGTTACAGCTGTAACCACTGCATTGAACAAGGACTCAGGAAGTGATGGCACAAAGGTATTTTTACTCTGAGTCTCACAATGTATTCATGCCTCCGCAGTAAGGTGGTCTTTCTTGGATAAAATCTTAGTCCACATGGCTCTTTTGGTCCCTTAATGAAACTTCTGGAGTCACTCTAAAGTACAAACAGCCTTAAGTCAGCCATTACAATGGCGCAATTCCACGCAACAACCAAAACTAGAGACTTGACTAAAAGGTGAAATATTCTCCCCATGTCCAGCTGAGCTCCGCACTGTGGGGCTTTTTGAAGCATGTATGACCGTGGGGAACAAACAAAGCGGCACGGGGGTGGGGCCTGTGGTGGCCGTGGGGGTAGCCACTCAAGCCTCTTTCAGGGGAGCACATCAAGAGGAGCAGAGTTGACTGACAGCCCAGAGGCCACACTTGGGATCTGCCCCACATTTGCACCAAGGCCATAGTTTCCAGGGACACCCACATCTAAAAGCTGAGTGCAGCAAGGGTGCTAGAACCAGGCCATTCCTGCCTGCCGGGAACTCTTCTGAGAGGCAGCCTTGGCCAGGGCCAGTGAGGGGACTAGCCAGCCTTGCCCAGATTTGCTCTGCCCTGCACTGCATCTGGACTCTTCCTACCCTGTCCCTCTTTCTTCCCCCTCCTGATCCGTGGTCCAAAGCCTCTCTGCCTAATCTTGCTTTATTTACCTTTATTCTCCATAGGTATTTCCCCTAATAAATCTCTGCCTTTCAGGAGCCTGAATTGATATATGACCTTTGTTTTCCTGCCTGGCAGTTTCTACTCCCCACCAGCCAAAGGGGCCAGTGGCCGTGTAGGAAGCAGGTGTTGTCAGCTTCTCCTTCCTCCCTCTGTTCCTCCCATCTCACTGCTGCTCCTTCGCCTCCCTTCTCACATCTGGACTGGCCCTGACTTCAGATGCCTCTCACTCCCAGGACACACAGTGCTTTAATACCAACCATGTTTCTCATGTGGCACTTTCATGGGTTCCTCAATAAGGGCAGGGCCTTGTCTGCTAGCATTTCCTATCCTCCCCCTCAACTTCAGTGTGTTAGTCAGGGTTCTCTAGAGCAACAGAACCAGTAGAATGTGGATGGACAAATGGATGGATGGATAGATGAGAGAGAGAGAATAAGGAGTTGGTTTTCACGAATATGGAGGCCAAGTAGTCCCAAGATCCACAGCTGGCAAGCTGAGACCTGGGAGAGCTGATGGTGTAGTTCTAACACAAAAGCCAGTGGGCTAAAGACCAGAGGGAGCTGATGGTTCAGTGCAGCTCCAAAGGCAGAAAAGACCAGAGTCCCAGCTCAAAGCAGTCAGGACAAAGGAATTCCCTCTTTTCTCAGCTTTTCTGTTCTATTCAGCTCCTCAGTTGACTAGACAAGGCCACATTAGGGAGGACAACCTGCTTTACTCGGTCTACCAATTTAAATGTCCATTTCACCCAGAAGCACACTCACAGACATACCCAGAATGACACGGAACCGACTGTCTGCACACTCTGTGGCCCGGGCAGCTTGACACATAAAATTCACCGTCACACTCAGCTACTGCCCCCGACAGGACATCCCACAGTGCCTCAGGGCTAGTGTTGGGGAGCCCTCTTTTGGCAGGATCCCTTTTCAAGCCTCCTCTAACACAAGTCTCATACCTGGCCCAGGGTGCAGGTGCCATTGACCTGCTATGGGAGAGGAACGTGGCCGCTTCCAGACGCCGCCCTCCACTCTGCTGCCTCAGTCATGACTCATGCCCAGCCTCTTTGTTCCCAGTGGTAGAGGGGTATTCAGTCTCTCCGAGTGGTCCTCACCTCTCCACCACTCCCCCTGGGAATAGGGGAGGATGGGGGAGGAGCCCCAGCTCATCCACAGCTCTCTCAGAAAAAGACTTCTCAATCTCTCTCAACCCTGTAGCATCCCCCTATAACGATGGAGTTTGAGAAGTAGTGAACTAGTCGCTGTTCAGTCTGGGTATGACACAACTCCTCCTTTGCATCTCAGCCTCTGTTGCATCTTGGTGCCATGGCAGAAACTTTTTACACATCCTGTTATATGGGTATTTCTTTGTTTTGCTTTGTTTTGAGACAGCGTCTCATCCTGTCACCAAGGCTGGAGTGCAATGGTGCGATCTCAGCTCACTGC